CAACCTAAGAGCGATGGCCTCCAACCTAAGAGCGATGGCCTCCAACCCAAGAGCGATGGCGATGGCCTCCAACCTAAGAGCGATGGCCTCCAACCCAAGAGCGATGGCCTCCAACCTAAGACCGATGGCCTCCAACCCAAGAGCGATGGCCTCCAACCTAAGACCGATGGCTTCCAACCCAAGAGCGATGGCCTCCAACCTAAGAGTGGCCTCCAACCTAAGAGCGATGGCCTCCAACCCAAAAGCCATGGCCTCCAACCAAAAAGCGATGGCCTCCAACCTAAGAGCGATGGCCTCCAACCTAAGAGCGATGGCCTCCAACCTAAGAGCGATGGCCTCCAACCTAAGAGCGATGGCCTCCAACCTATGAGCGATGGCCTCCAACCCAAGAGCGATGGCCTCCAACCTATGAGCGATGGCCTCCAACCTAATGGCGATGGCCTCCATCCTAATGGCGATGGCCTCCAACCTAAGAGCGATGGCGTCCAACCTAATGGCGATGGCCTCCACCCTAATCCCTAATGGCGCCTCCACCCTAACGGCAATGAGAGCGATGGCCTCCACCCTAGTAGCGATGGCCTTTAAATAGCGATGGCGTCCAACCTAAGAGCGATGGTCTCCAACCTTTATAATAGCGATGGCCTCCACCCTAGTATGGCACTTCCAACCGAACAGCAATCTTGCACATAAAGCAAGTTGGATGGAGCCGTGCATCTCCCAATCACGCATCATAAAGCCTTGACTGGACGCTGCCAGCTGGTCGCTCTTCATTTGTTCGCGACGAACACCTCCGGACATGTTAAAGCAAAAGCGGCATCAAGACTCATCCAGAACCAAAAGAGAAATGGCATCAGGAACAAGAAGCTACTATATAGTAGCTCCTGGCATTACTACTAGTAGCAAGGATGCTACTAGTAGCTAGGGCATCGCTACTAGATCCGAACCAAAAGAGAAATGGCCGAAACGATCCGAAACGTATGTTGCACAGTGCGTTTCCAAAGCCAACCTGAGTAGGACAACAGTGTCAGGCATGCGGACAAAGCCTTGGATTCAGGATCAGGTCCAAAAGGAATGCTGAGACGAAGATGCGGAAACCGAGCAGCTGCCATCAGCACAGCCACATTGCATCTCAACTTGCCAATATGCACTGGCGCACTCATCACTGCTGACGCCACCTTCGCGAGGCTTCAAACTTACACATGTTGGTGTCCCTGCTGACTCGCATGAGGAACAGCACAAGATGTCAGGCCACCCGGCCTTCATGAGTACAGTGACTTCGGTCAGCAGCAGCGTCGTCAGCAAAAATCCACAAGGTATAGCGACATATGCAAAAATTGCCCAGAACATCTCCCTGGCCAGGCTTTGTGAATTGGAAGACTTGCAAGCATTATAGAAGCCTTCAAACGAGAGAAGTGGGCCGAGGCCTGCAAGCTTTGCAGGAGCACCCGGGTGCTACAACTCTGCTACAGTGGAACGAAATGGCTGCATAGCCAGAAAGAGCGGCTTGTTCAAATCTGAAGTTTTTCTTATGTGTCTTGGTTGTTCTTTTCTTGAGTGAGGCATCACACGTGATCCCACCTAGATCCTGACGGAAGTGTGCCTCACCCTCATCGGCCCAAGCAGTTGGAACCTGCTTGTTGGGCTGTTTGGAAAGTCTGGAAGGCTTCGGACCAGAGAGGGCTTGAGGAAAGAAACGACCAAAGTCACACACTGCACTTCTGAGTCGCCTCTGCAGTTTTGGGATAGCCCCCATTGGCAGTCTCCAGCATAGGCTGCTCCTGCGTGGCACCCACCCCCCCCCCCCCCCCCCCCCCCCCCGCCCCCCCCCCGCGGGCCCCCCCCCCCCCCCCCCCTCTCTCTCTCTCTCTCTCTCACTCTCGCTCTCACTCTCTCTGAAGCCATCTCATCTAAGGTTCGGACCTCATCTTTCTTCCAGAAATCACGGGCCTGGGACATACGCTGCGCAGGCCCAGTACCTGGGCAAGGTCAACTTGCAGGTCAAAGAGATGCGACAGACAGCCCACAAGATGTGTGTGGGAACTATGAATGATTTTATAAACACAAAGTGGTTCTAATATATCTGTCTTTGGACCTTTCTATTGTTTTCCGTTCTCGTAAATTCATCGGTTTCCGTTCTTTTTATGTTCGCCTCACTATCGCCTTAGGTGCTTGGGTCTTGCAAAGTTCTTTTTGCGCAAACGTGCTCACTTGGGCTCCCCACCGCCCAAGCGCGGTGCGGCCTGTGGCAAGGAATTGCACAAGCGGTCCTGTTTGGCTACAGCTACAGAGGCTATGGGCTGTTGTTGAGGGCAACGTTCATGGTACAATAAGCAACAGAAGCATGCTACACTATTCTAGAATACGGATGAATAAGGACCCATCAAGAGAAGAGAGTAGCTATGGGTAGTGATGTTGATGACCCAAGGAACAAGAAGCAGGAAAAAGAAGCTGGAGGAGGAAGAAGAAGAAAGTGAGTAGCGTGAGCGAGCATGAGTAGCATTGCAACACGCAACGCCAAAATGAATTTCCTTGTGCTAAGCTTGTAACGCGCGTCTTCCTCTTCAAAATGCCTTGAAGCTCCGAAGCCTTCCGGCAATCCACAATGAGATTGCAACTCTCTGGTCTATTAGCATAAGCTTGTGCATTTGCCGTCCTGTGTGAGCACATTATGGCGATCGGCACCAGCTGGCTTTTCCTCATGCTTGGAGCAAGGCAGCAAGGCGCTACAACAGATCAATCAACACAATCAGTAGCTTCACAAAAAGCACACTCGCTGAAGAGCTCCCAACCAGCCGGCTCTTGTCGTGGCTCTCCTGCCATACCAGTTCCGAGCCCAAGGTCTTTTTTTCCGGGGGAGGCAAAACAAATAGCAATTGGCAATGGCCTCCAACCTACTTGCATCCTTGCTACTAGCCTACACGAATTCTGACTGATGCTTTTTTGACTGCCAGCCTGGTCCAACCAACAAAGACGCCGTGGTCTAGGCGGCGTCATGTCGGATCGGTGCAAACTCAACGAACACCTGTAAGGTTCCAGCATATGCCTTTCCAGCGCACCAGAGTGAAACTCTGCCAAAGGACCCATCCTTGCAGGCTTAGGTGAAGAAAAAACAACGGTTCTTATTAGCGTTTGCGACCTGAGGGTGTGATAGACTGTAAGGCACTGCAAGGCTTTGGGCTTTGGCTGTCCATTGAGATACGTGTTGCGGAGGAGGAGGTCCTTGCCAAAATCAACACCCACGCTCCCTCGCACTTCGGCGTTGCTTGGGATGCAGTCTCAAGTGGAAGGTTGGCCACAACTCAATCCAGAGCGTCCTCTGCTTCCCAACTGTTACTTGCATCTGTCCAGTCAACGCTGAGTGACTGCTTTGACCTTAACACACCATCTGTCAGGAAGGCAATGATAAAGTCTAATTGAAGTGCCCGGCTTCTCAACAAGACGCCGTTCGAGAGCAGACAGCTGCCTTGCCGTTCGTGTATTGAATCTCGCGGGCTCAAAAGCTGCGACAGCAGCAATTCTGGAAGCATGTCTTACACCGTGTCATGTCCGCATGTACTCGAGGGCTAAAGGGTACAGTAAATAGTTATAAGTTATAAGTCATTGCTCCTAGTAGCTTCTTGTTCCTAGTAGTAAGGCCACAAGCCACCAGTAGTGTCCTTGCTCCTAGTAGCGATGCCAGGAGCCCCTAGTAGCGTCCTTGCTCCTAGTAGCGATGTCAGGAGCCCGTCCTTGTTCCTAATGTTCCTTTTACGTGTGGATTCGCATCCATTTGTGATTGCTTTGCGTCTTCTCACTTGCTCAATGGTGCAAAATCTGAGCTGCAGGCTGCATAAATGCAGATTTCAAGTTCATGTCTGGCCTGGAATCTGCATGTGTTCCTTTCCTTATGTCTTTCTTTGTTTATTTATTTCGTTACTTCTTTATTTATTTAGCTTTTTCTTTCTTTGTTTAGTTCTTTCTTTCCTTCCTTCCTTCCTTCCTTCCTTCCTTCTTTCTTTCTGTCTTTCTGTCTTTCTTTCTGTCTTTCTGTCTTTCTGTCTTTCTGTCTTTCTGTCTTTCTTTCTTTCTTTCTTTCTCTCTCTTTCTTTCTTTCTTTCTCTCTTTCTCTCTTTCTCTCTCTTTCTCTCTCTTGCAATCTTCCTTTCTTCTAGAACCCTTCATAAACAGAAGCAGCACCGAGCAGCATCCTATGAAAAGTCCTGATGACTAGCGAAGGAGCATTCGGAACATGCCTACGGAAGCTGATGAACTCCATGGTCTTGCGAAGACCCCAGCCTTGGAAAGCCATCACTTCAAAAATGACAGCAGGTGGGTAGAGATCCTTACTCCATTGGACAAATGAAGCATTCAAGCGCTGCTTAGTTTACCGGTTGAGTGTACAACGTTCGTGTAGTTCTTGAAATTGCAAGTAGCAAAGAAAAACCTATCCAGGTCTAGACCATTGCATCCTGCCAGGTTGCTAGGGCCGCAGCTGTATTTCTTCATCATATAGGCACCTAGAATGCAACAAGACCTGGACTGCCCGCGTACCGAGTGGATCAGTACCTCACACCCAGAAAAACGTCTCTGCCAGTCAAGGTCCTTGCAAAAACGTCCCATGACAAATGCCGGCGCACACTTTCTGCAGAGTTCAGAGCTTCTTCAATAAATCTGAATGACTCAGACCTGGCAAGAGGGCACTGTTTGTCAGCAAAACTCTGAGTCGGAATCTGTGTAATTTGCAGAAACATGCTGCATTGCCTGAGAGTGAAAGCGATACAGAATGTGTACAATCCAGGTGCCCCACGAAACAACGTCTCGCGTGTCTAACACCACCTGCAAATAAACGAGACATAGAATCATAGAACGCATTCCAGCCCAGCAGTTTTAACACCACGCACTTCTGAAACGCCCCTTAGTCTCCACACTCAGCACGGCCTGACTGTCTGCATCCACCCAGTAGTAGGTAAGATATGCCACGCCGATGGACCTGCACAGCAGGGGGACAGTTCTCAGACTTCTCACGAAAGAAAGAAACCACGTTAAGGTTCTCTACCTGGCGGCGATGGCCTCCAACCTACTAGCGAGGGTCTCCAATCTAATAGCGAGGGCCTCCAACCCAACAGCGATGGCCTCCAACCTACTAGCGAGGGCCTCTTATCTACTAACAATGGCCTTCAACCTAATACAAACGGCCTTCAACCTACTAACGATGGCCTCCAACCTACTAACGATGACCTCCAACCTACTAACGATGACCTCCAACCTAATAGCGAGGGCCTCCAACCTAATAGCGACAGCCTCCAACCTACTAGCAAGGGCCTCCAACCTAATAGCGATGGCCTCCAACCTACTAACGATGGCCTCCAACCTACTAACGATGGCCTCCAACCTACTAGCGAGGGCCTCCAACCTACTAGCGATGGCCTCCAACCTACTAACGATGGCCTCCAACCTACTAACGATGGCCTCCAACCTAATAGCGATGGCCTCGAACCTACTAACGAGGGCCTCCAACCTACTAACGATGGCCTCCAACCTACTAACGATGGCCTCCAACCTACTAA